ACAGAAAGGAGAATATTAGCCAGGATGTTGTTGTTTGGTGTCCAATGAGTTTTGATAGTAATTTTTACCATTAAAGTCTTAAACTGGATTTTTGTCTCTTTAATAGTACAGTGATTAAAGCTTATCTCTGTCCTTTCCCCCTTGTTTCTTCTTACCATAGCTTTTCACATGGTATTCTATCATTAAATTATAAAGCAGTAAGCATATGACTGCAACATATTACTCTCTCACACCACCATGTAAAAGTGCAGGACAGGCATCTATTAAGAGGGTGTGAAATACATTTAATCTTCAGGAGTAGATAACCTGGGGGCAAGTTCAAGCTACTTTTAAATAGGCTGTTTGTTTTAACTTTCCATTTGTTAGCAGTAATCTCAGTCTCACCCACCTTTTCATTTTAGTTTAAAATACTTCACAAATATCTGACAGTAAAAGGTATAATGAATGCTTCACAGACTCAGATTTCTCTATGGAAGCCATTAAATTGACATTCATTAAAAAAATTATTTGGCATAATATACAGTAATTCATTTAGCAAGCTACCATTTGGAAGCTGCAGAAGAAGGAGAGACATTATATTCTTGGAATAAATTTGTTGCTTTTCTAATTTGTTTCTCTTGAGTTGGTTTAGTTAATAATGTAAATATAGGTTGAGCATTCCAAATCCAAAAATCTGAAATCCAAAATGATCCAGAATCGGAAACTTTCTGAGCATCGACATGACATCAAAGGAAATGCTCATTGAAAGACTTTAGATTTTTGGATGTGGGATGCTCAACTAGTATAATGCAAATATTACAAAATCCAAAAACCTCAAAATATGAAACACTTTTGGTACCCTGCATTTCAGATAAGGAATACTCAACCTGTATAAGCAACTAAGATAGTAAAAGGATATTTTCTACATATAATATAAATTTCAAAAATTTTAAAAGCTTTATTTCTTGTGACTAAGTGCTAACCTTTATAAATCTTAAAAAAAAAAAAAAGATTGTTATTATTCTCATCTGATGGTATTTCTAAAAAGTATGTACTCAGAAAATGTTCTCTCACTCCAAAGACAAAGTATAGCTTTGGCAATTCTGGTTTTCTAGGTTTCCAACTAAGTTTGAGCTTATCTGAATCAAGCATCACCAGTTTTGTGAAGAAATAGCTATATTTCTCATTAAGTCCCTGCCTTTTCAGTCCCCTTCTTTCTAATAGGCCCAGCAAAGTTACCTAATGTCTGTGTCACATGAATGCAGCCTGAGTGTATAAAATTCTACAGTACTAAAATATTACAATGTGCATATATTAGGTCACACATATACACTTATATAAAACTAATGAATTATTTAGAAAATAGCACAAGTGTTGATTCTTGAAAGTGCTATATAAGCTGGGCATAGTGGCTCATGCCTATAATCCTAGCACTTTGGGAGGCTGAGGTGGACGTCAGGAGTTTGAGACCAGTCTGGGCAATGTGATGAAAACCCATCTCTACTAAAAATACAAAATTAGCCAGGCATGGTGGCAGGTACCTGTAATCCCAGCTACTTGGGAGGCTGAGGCAGGAGAATTACTTGAACCCAGGAGATGAAGGTTGCAGTGAGCTGAGGTCGTGCCACTGCACTCTAGCCTGGGTGACAGAGC